GCACACGCGGCTGGCCGGCTACTGAGCGTCATGTTTTCCACACGCACACGCGGCTGGCCGGCTACTGAGCGTCATGGTTTCCACACGCACACACGGCTGGCCGGCTGCTGAGCGTCATGGTTTCCACACGCACACGCGGCTGGCCGGCTGCTGAGCGTCATGGTTTCCACACGCACACGCGGCTGGCCGGCTGCTGAGCGTCATGGTTTCCACACGCACACGCGGCTGGCCAGCTGCTGAGCGTCATGGTTTCCACATGCACATGCGGCTGGCCAGCTGCTGACCAAGCACCACGGTGTCACGTGCACTCCCCGCTCTGAAAACACAGCTGACCTTCCCCCATGTCCCTCCTCGGGGCAGGCGTGCACCGTGCTGAGCACAGAAGGGGCGTGTGTTCGTCCCCCCCGCCACCCCCGCTCTCTCTGAGCGGCCGGTTCCCCAGGGCCCTGGAGATTTGTTCTTTAGAATCTGTCCTGCGAGTGACCCTGACATGTGCAGTCATAGAACTGGGGAAGGACAGGGATGGCTGTCCTACTCGAGAGCCTTTCAGGTGCGGGACTGGTGACGGTGCTCACCAGAGAGCTGGTGGGAGAAGGTGACCATAATGATAAAGTAAAATGGTGTCAATTTGCTCGTATCCCCTCCTCTTTTTGGGTTGGCCTCAGTGCATAATTGGGCCTATTTTATACGCATGGGCGGTTTTATTTTTTATTGTAACTTTTTTTCAGAGAGGACGGGAGAGGGAGAGAGAGAAAAACATCCATGATGAGAGAGAATCATCGATCGGCTGCCTCCTGCACGCCCCACACTGGGGATTGAGCCCGCAACCGAGATGTGTGCTCTTGACTGGAATCAAACCCTTCAGTCCATAGGCCAACGCTCTGTCCACTGAGCCAAACCAGCTGGGGCAACGTTTCTTTTCTTAATCCTCACCTGAGGATGTGTTTATTGATGTTAGAGAGAGGAAGGGAGAGAGAGAGAGAGAGAGAGAGAGAGAGAGAGAGAGAGAGAGACAGCAATGTGAGAGAAACATCCATCGGTTGCCTCCGATGGTAGGTGCCCTGAAACAAGAGTCAAACCACGACCTTTTGGGATACGGGACGATGCTCCAACCTACTGAGCCACCGGCTGGGCATGGAGGCATTTCACAGGCCGCCGATAGGCAGTTCACCAGTCAGTAGGCGGATGTTCTCGGATTGAGGTCCTCCTGGTGCAGGAGGCCTATTGGGCCGCGGTTTCTGCAGACACGCTCTCCCACATTGCAGGTAGCTACTCGCAGGGACTTCCCACACCTGTCCTGGCAGCTTTCTCAGCCTGGGGGCGCTGGGCATTTGGGGTCGGTCATTCCTGGGAGGGGGCAGCCTATGCACTGCAGAGCGTTGAGCAGCTCCCGGGTCTCCACCATCACGTCAGCAGCATTTTCTGTCCCACTTTGACAACCAAAAAGGTGGCCAGGCGTAGCCCAAGTCCTTTGAGCGGGCACCCCCTCCATCATTGAGAATCATTAGATCTGGGAGAGCAACTTTTATATGAGATACGGTAGTGCCTCGGATACAGTAAAGCATCTTTTATATGAAATACTGTAGTGCCCCAGATACCAATAGAGCATCTTTTACATGATATACGGTAGTGCCTCAGATACATAGAGCACCTTTTACATGAAATACAGTAGTGCCCCAGATAATAATAGAGCATCTTTTACATGAAATACAGTAGTGCCTCATACAGTAGAGCTCCTTTTACATGAAATACGGTAGTGCCCCATATAACAATACAGGATCTTTTACATGAAATACGGTAGTGCCCCAGGTAACAATGGAGCATCTTTTACATGAAATACGGTAGTGCCTCAGATAATAGAGCACCTTTTACATGAAATACAGCAGTGCCCCAGATAACAATAGAGCATCTTTTTTTTTTTTTTAAATATATTTCTTTATTGATTTAAGAGAGGAAGGGAGAGGGAGGAAGAGATAGAAACATCAATGATGAGAGAGTCATTGATTGGCTGCCTTCTGCACGGCCCCTACTGGGGACCAAAGCCCGCAGCCCAGGCATGTGCCCTTGGCCGGAATCGAACCTGGGACCTTTCAGTCCGCAGGCCGACGCTCTATCCACTGTGCCAAACTGGATAGGGCAAATAGAGCATCTTTTACATGATATACGGTAGTGCCTCAAATACATAGAGCACCTTTTACATGAAATACAGTAGTGCCCCAGATAATAATAGAGCATCTTTTACACGAAATACAGTAGTGCCTCATACAGTAGAGCGCCTTTTAAATGAAATATGGTAGTGCCCCATATAACAATAGAGCATCTTTTACATGAAATACGGTAGTGCCTCAGCTACATAGAGCACCTTTTACATGAAATACAGTAGTGCCTCAGATACAGTAGAGCACCTTTTACATGAAATACGGCAGTGCCTCAGCTACATAGAGCACCTTTTGCATGAAATACGGTAGTGCCCCAGTTCAGTGTGGTATTTACCAAACATTGGGTCCCCCACTGAGGACAGCATTACACCCTGTCCTACACCCAGGCTCACCCCCACACACACACACTGCCCACCGCTGTGCCCTGGGCAGTGCCTGCCCCGCCTCGCCTCTGCCCGCACCTACCTGCTGCGGTGCCCACAGCCCAGTGCCAGGAGCTTCGGGGCTGACGGCCGTCCCCTGGCTTCCCCCAGGATGGCACGGTATTCG